TCATACACTTGTGCTTGTAAGCCAATTCGTTTAATAGCAATACCAAGTTTTGGCCTTCCACGCTTGGGCGGCCTATCGCTGGTTGATGTTGCCATATTTTTTTCATACAAAAACCCACAACCGGGACGAAATGTATGATAAATAAACACTAAATGGAGTATTCCAATACGTATTCTAACCAAAACAATGTCAACTATTTAATATTCAAGAAAGATGTTTAGGATATTCACGGATGACAAAACTCAACTTTATTTTAATGAATTTCTCGACCAACAAAATGGCCGCGGACCAAATTCACGCAAGCAATGCATTGTGGTTGACAATGATTCTTTAAGTTGCTATGTTTTGAAGTTGCTATGTAAACCAGTATGACAGGTACTTCGGACACGCATAAATAACTTTACTGAGGCGTAGCTAAAATATTCTGGCAGCGATTGTAAAATGTCGGGGCAGTTTTTAATCAAAATATCACCAATGAGATGCAAATTGTTGAAAATCTTTCGCAGAAAAGTGTGAATTTCTCAATTTTCTGCTAAAGCTGCGCCAAAACCTGCGCCAACGGGCAGTAGCAAAAAGTTGTCGCGAAAAAATATGCGGTTTTTTGGCATTTCCGAAATTTTCACCGAATTTTCGAATTCTTTCAAATCATAATTTCAAATATATTAATATAATGCTCAATTGCTCAGTTCACCAAATCTTTGCCAAATTGATCTTTGGGATTATTCTGCGCCAAATCAATATTTGTGATCAATCTGCGCCAAAAACGTGCGCGAAAATTTGTTCTGCGCTTTTTAAAGATCTTTCGGAAATACGGCCTCGGCCTCAAATTCACCCCGCCGCTTGTGCAAAGGCACATTTGTTATACTTAAAAGTCGCTATCCGTCGCATAAACTCAAAATTTAATAACAAAACAGCAAATATTTTGGATGAGAAAGGTCGGATTGTTATAAACAAACATAAGAACTCACTTTTGATAATTCAGTTCCTGAAGTACATTAGTATACCCCACATCAGTTTACTCACATCCGTGTGAGAGTGAATGTGAGTGTTTATTTTATCAAATTAGATAATTGCATTGATACACACTACTTGCAAATAGCATTTGCTAATCAAGGCAGATAGCGGGAAAATGATTTAGCTTACAATGGACCTTTCCCCTTATAACTAAAATTTCGATCTAGACAAAAATTTCATCACAGCTTGAAAGAGCATCACAAAATTAGTAGTAATATTCCAAAGTTTTGTTGCAAAATCTTGTAAAATGTGGATAATATAGCCTTGCGAAGTTTGCCGTTTTTCAGTCATTTTGTATTACAAACGGGAAATTGACATCCGATTCGGGTGTTGGGGCTGCAATTTCCCGTTTGTAATGCAAAATGACTGAAAATTGCAAACTTCGCAAGGCTCTATTTTCCTCATTTTACAACATTTTGCAACAAAACTTTGGAATATTACTAATTTTGTGATGCTCTTTCAAGCTGTGATGAAATATTTGTCTAGACTTGCCTAGATCAAAATTTGGGTTATAAGGGGAAAGGTCTATTCACTCATAGCTTCCATTTATTAATAGTAATTAAGAAAAGCAATAACAAAAACATTAGAATACAGACTACAATTTATATACTTTCAACATCATGTAGCGGCTTACCATTGTGCATCCCATGGAAAATTCACATGTCACTGACCAGAAACTAGCTGGTCTATCTTTGATTCTAAATGTCCTAACTGTCAATTCCTATAGGTCTAAATTTTCATTCCTGGACAATTTTTTTGGAAAGCTGGTGTTTTCAATGGGCATTATTAGCAGTGTGGTGACACAGTTCTGTACCATGCAATACCTACAAGACAGCAGTGATTTTATTACCATCTGGTACAACGTAGTCCTGGGTGCCATTTCAGTATTCTTTATCACATTTGGCTACCACTTTCTATTTGTGAAATCTCCAAATAACAACATTGGCTCGCACGACAGAGGGATGGGACTTGTTGTGGGCATCATTACCATACTGGTTGTTGGTCTTGAAATTGTGCTAATCGTCATGGTATTCAAGCGTGAAAACCTCAGCCCCGGTGTTGCTATATATCTACCTGTTTTTGCATGCGAAAAAATCGTTCAAGTTGTGCTATATATTGCCATCCGTAGATGCAAGCCTGATCCCAGCTACAGAAGAGGGGCAGTGTTCTATTTTAACTTTTTATCATTTTTAAACTTTACCCTCTGGTTACACAGCATTCCGTTCACAGATATACCCATATACGATGAAGTGTCACATAATTATTATCTACAATATGTTGACCAAACATTTAAGGCGTTACTTATCGATTACAGACTGTTGTGTGCTTTCCTGTTCTTGGAGCATGCATTAGCAATTGATGACGACGGGCATGAACATGTTAACAATGAAGTCGACAGTGGATTTCAAATGCCAAGGAAACGTTACTTTTACACAGCTATTGGTCTCAGCATTGGGCTATTCTTTTTGGCACTGGAGATCATAAATGCTGCTCAATTCTGGCACAAAAGTCTTCCGGACGTTGTTAATCTTTTCCCAGTTCTAGTTGATACAGGTCTTGTTGTTTTGGGATACTTGTTACTACGAAATGTTAATATTTCTGTTTTACATGATGAAAAAGTCAGTCTTGTCTTGCTTATGGTTACATCAATGGGTGTTGCAAGTATTGTATACTTGTTTTGCTTTGGTTTATTGGCGTTATCTTCATTCGAATATGATCACTCTGTTTCGTATATGAGATGGTCGGCATGTGTGTTTTTTGCAAGGGCATCTAGCTTGCTGGTCTTGTTGGTTGTGTATACAGGAATCCCTGTAAGTACTTTTGAATTGCGACAGAACTTTAATACCAAAAACTATCTTTTTGTCTCTGCTCTGTGTTGTGGGTTGTTTGCAAGATTTATTGGGAGTATCCTTGATGAATTTAAAGGTACAATGCATGAAGTAGCAGTGGAACATCTTGATTCAAAGAACTTTCGGACTCTGCGAGATTTGTTTGAAATCGGGCCATTATTCCAGCTTGCGACCTCTTTGCATTTAGCACTTCATTTCCTGCTAATGCTTTGGCGCCTTCGTGAGCGACCTAACAAACAAGCTCGTATAGATGGGCATGGTGAACCTATTAGAGGCGATTATGTTGAACCTATTAGAGGTAATTATGGTACACAGTCAGCAAATGGTGTTGCCAGGCAACCGGATGGTGATGTTGATGTACATTTTAGATCGTCGTCTGGTGTACAACAATTTGAACGTGATGATGATGAACGTACAAGATTGTTACCGCCATATCAACGATGTTAATTCTGTGAACTGTGTTCATGACTTAAGATGTTGCAAACATTGTTTTAAATACAGCATCACGAAGGCAAGAGACGTAATGTTGTAAGAAACAGGATTATAACAACTGTATATATTGTTTATTTTTTGTTGATTTCTGACTATCTGTTGACTTTTGTGTCTGTTGATTGACATATGTATACAGTGTATAATATACCGACGACGCTATCTCCAATCCAAAGTCTAAGGGCTGTCCATATGAGGCGGTCCAGCTGGACAAGCCGGGATGAATCTTGTCACGAAAATGTTTTCCTGACCGAAAAGCACGTTTGAATGAACTTTATACTGTTACTAGAATCAAACTAAACTAATTCAACTTTGAAATGTCATTCTGGATGTTTATCAAAGTACAAATCATCCCGGTTATCCAGAGCAGCCCGGATTCATACCAACAGCCCCTAAAGCCAGTTTTCCATTCTGCTTCGCACGCAAAATTCCGCCTAATGGAAAACCGGATAACGGGCTAGCTCGACTAGTATTCGGGGAGTGTAGCTAGCTATCATCTAAACCTGGAGTAAATGGTTATCAACTCCAAAAATAGTCTAAAAATAAGACTAAAATAGCTGTTGTGCCAAATGCAAAAGATTTCTGAGCTCTGAGTAATTATGCATCAGTTGGAGTTTGGTTTCAATATCCATTCTCGTCCCCAGGCTATACTAGTTTTGGTTCGCAACAGATATACTTCTATTCTTAAAAGGAACATATAGTATCCGCACTATGTCCATGTAATACAAGAGGAAAAATGAACTGAACATTTTTTATAGTTATAGATAAATTTTTTTTTAACATAATTATTCAACATTATTTGTAGTATTTTTTATTGTACTAGATAGTATAAATCTTTTTAATTAATGACAAATGTATGATAACGTAATTCAGCTTGCTTTTGCGGCTGCAAAGTTTCTTTAATAAAACATGCAGTAGATTAGATATGATGTCTTTAAATATGTTCTGTAAATAAACCAATTGAAATTAAAAACGTGCTTGTTAGCCCTATTCACATTAGAGATGGACAAGTCGTCTAGACGAACAAATCGTCTCTCAAAAATCGTCTTCACAGACGGACAAGCAGTCGAACAAATTGAGACGACTTGTTCGTCTAAAATTTTGTACGACACGTTTTCACATCTGATGATTTGTCAGACTAAAAGACGATTTTGAGACGATTTGTTCGTCTAGACGACTTGTCCGTCTTCTAATGTGAAAACGGCTAATGTAGAAGACAAGTATCTTTTAGGGTTTTAAGGTGTACTAATTTTGATCCAGTTCAAGGACTGCATTAATTTGATCCTCCAGTCCTAGGACTGGATCAATATACTTCACCAGGTACTTCAGTATTATCATGTGATCAAAGCAATAAGGTTGGCTAAATTACTCATTAATTATTAATAGTTTGAGATATACGTGTGTTCAATGAGTGATGATGGTTGATGATGATTGATGGTGATGATGTTGTTGAAGCTGATGATGTTTGATGATGATGTTGTTGATGGTAATGCTGTTGTTGGTGCGGATAATGTTGCAAGGCCCGACCTTCCTTAACGAGATATCAGGGTGATAATGAATGTAGCAAAATCATTTGTGTCTCAACCCACCCTCTACTGTATGTCAGACGTCCAGACGTTTCCAGTTTAATCATGCTGTGTGCCTGTTCATCATCAGTCATCATTAGATCACAGTATGTGTCTGGGATCCAAAACAATAGGCTACTACTAAAAAATAATAATAATAATAATATCCTTTATGATAAATTCCCTGTACTCAGTGGCGTAGCAAACTCGATAATTGGGGGGGCACATATTCATATATTCGTGTTCTGCCTTATTAATTTCTTTTGAAATCAATTGTTTTTAAGGTCAGTGAACACGAATATATGAATATGTGCCCCCCCAATTATCGAGTTTGCTACGCCACTGCCTGTACTGAAAATCATGTTGCGGTTCTTTGTCTTCAACTCTCCCAATTCATTGCATGCCGAGCTAGTGTCATGGTAAATTACTAAAAGTTGTTTCGGCGTTGTTCGTGGGAGGTCATAAAGTTTGTTTTATCAATGTATGTAAATCAGCTTTGCAATTATAGAAGGAACAGCCCCAAGGGTTAAATCCAAGCTTTTAATACATAACATGCTTTTTCACATCGCTGCTGCCCATTTTACAAATTTGGAACCCACATTACTGGTCTTGCTTACAAGATTGACACATAATTGCACAGTTGAATTCGTGTCTTTTAATTCATATCATGTAATTCATATCTTGCCTATATTAGGTAGATAAGTATATCAGTATATAAAGATAGTACTAATTTATAAACAATGTAAATGTAGAATAGGGTTACTGTAATATTTGATAGAATCAGTTTTTTTAATGATGAGCTACTGACTTAATGACGTTCATGGCTCATGGCAACTAAATTTCAAATGCTTGCATCCAGAATGATTTATGTACTATTTAAAAAACGAGCAGGAGTGTTTTATTAGGTTTAAAGGAATTAAAGCACGAGCGCGCAGCGCGAGTGGCTTTAGACCTAATAAAACACGACCTGAGAGTTTTTTTTTAAATGACTTCAAAAACATTTGCATAATAAGTCAAATCTTTATATAAAAATCTTTATATAAAAATCTTTATATAGTTTGCATAACAATGGTCTTTTGTTAAAGTGTTCTTTAGCTGGTATAAAGACATATGCACGTGACTAATTTCTTACTCAAGATTGGATAATTGCTTCATGAATTATTAATGAGTTTTTGAAATATCATGAAAAATTCTATGATTAAGGTGGCTCGATACAGTTTTCAAAAATTCAGGTGTTCAACACTTTGAAATGTTCAAACTATGCATTTTTAGAATATATTCAGCAGATATTGGGTTTTTTATATATTTCGATATCTCTACTTTCAAATTATATTAGTTTTAGTAATATAATTTAGTTCGTTGCTATGACGACATACGTGTACAAAATACACTCCAAAATGGCCTTTCGTCTCGTATAGTTGGAAAAGAAGCATGGTGACCTCCAATTTTTTTTCTTGCATTATTGTACTTGGACGAAAAGCTAACAATTAGCAAAATATAAAAAAATTCTGTAATGCCATTTTTTTGGAAAATGCGAAAATGTCATATTCTTCGGTAAAATTTTTTTGGCATTACAGAATTTTTTTATTTTTTGTATAATGAAAGTTTTTAGCGGTTTAATACAGCATGCAAAATTTGAACATAGGTCACCAGACAAAATAAAGAGATATAGCGCATTGTTTTTCTAAAATGGAAAATTCTAATGACGTCAGCAATTGACATAAAACGCCATATAGAACACGCGAAATGACGTGAGATGGTGCGAGCAGCTGCTTACGTCAGGTCATTTTGGAAGTTCTGTCATTTTGTTAATCAGTTTCCGCGACCTGCGCGTAAAAATGGTCACCCGGTTTTGAGTTCGCGATTCTTGAGCAGGGTTTTCGTGATAACTATATCGAGCCACCTTAAAGCATTTTCAAAACTGCAAAGATGGGAAAATCACAATATGGATGTCCATATCGAGAGTTCGTGCTACTAAGTCCTTAAATACTACTTGAATAAGTTTGACTTTTCAAGGGCGTTTGAAAAGCTCTTGAAATTTATGTTTTTCTAATAATTCTAAATAGTAAGTGAAACCATAATATTAATTTTTGTCAGCTGCCATAGGTATTTCGCATTTTCGTGATGCAGAAACCGGCGTTAGAAACAAATCGTTGATACAAATTCGTCAACATTACACCAAGTACAGTAAAACCCCACATATAAGAATCTAGATTTTTCAAGTTAGCCTAAACAGGTTTTTGTGTAAATGATGCCTACCAGGAAATTAGGCTAAACAGGTTCTTAAATAGATTCTTATTTTCTTAAGAGAAAAACGACTAATTTTAGGGAGATATGGTAATATGATTTATATAAATTATACACAAATGATCTAAAAAATGATAGAAAATGCACTGTCGGTCGGCGGAAAACATTTTTCATTACTGTATATAACCTAAATAAACTGCCGTATAAGTAAACCAAAAGCACGAAACGTAATAAATATTTTCAATAAATAATTTGGCACACCACATTTTGAATATTAAGAATTATTTATGAATCTTCAACCAAGAAGTGAAGTTTATCGAACGTGCTGAAGGTCTAAACATTCTTCGAACTAATTACGACACTTGGCAAGCTTTTGAAGGATGGCGTATGTATGTATGTAAAACTTTATTTCAATACGCTAACTTCGACAATTATTTACAACTGGTTTCCACGAAGGGCGTATACACACAAAGAGCTAAATGTTAATTATATATAGAACAAAATATGTAAGAATCCCACCCTAAAATTTTATCATCTTCCTCCCAAACCTCCACCCCCTAAACAAGTACCCACCCACCCTCACGCAAAACTATAACCTCCCTCCCGCCCACAATCTATATTGTCCTCCCATCATTTGGTCCTGGAGAAATTAGCTTATCATCTGCTTAAATGCAATTTCGCCATTGTTTTAAATGACGTAATTGACTCAGCCGCCTTGACATCTTGCGGGAGACTATTCCATAGAATTGCTCCACTGTATCCAAATGTTTTCTTTAGAAATTCCGTTTTCGGTTTTTTTAACGAGAGATCAGTTTCGCTATTGCGTAAATCATAAATATTCTGCGATGCATTTCTCCGAGAAAAAAGATCTTTAAGGTTTGGCTCAGTGTGGTTCCCCAAGACTTTATCCTTCAATACTAGCTTGTTTTGTTCTCGTCTCCTAGCCAGGGTTTCCCAGCCTAATTTGTTTAGGACTTCAGACGATCTTACATCGTAGTCAGCTCCGGTAATATACAATTACTTTATGGTTTCCGTGTTTGGATGGCCTGATCCAAACACGCGGGAATGTTGCGAGAGGTAAGAAAAGCGAGCGAAACACGAGCCGAAGGCGAGTGATTTTGCCCGCTTTTCTTAACTCGAGCAACATTCCCAAGTGTTTGGATCAGTCCATCCAAACACGGAAACCATAAAGTAATTGTTTTATAAAATAACAACAACACGGTCGTCTTCCGTGTTTGGATGGCCTGATCCAAACACGGCTTTCGACCAATCAGAATACGCGTTATATACATGTTATTTTATAATCACCCTTGCTGCTCGATTTTGGAATTTTTGCAATTTGTCTTGAAGTCCCAAACCACAGTTATCCCACAGGGGAGAACAGTAATCAAAATGAGGCTGAATTAATGTTTTGTAGACATCATGTAAGGTTTTGTGTGGAACATAAGATTTTATTCTTTTAATTGCTCCTATTCCAGCGCTAATCTTATGGCATACAGAATCAATATGTTTCTCCCAACTTAATTTTTCATCTAGATTTACACCTAGACATTTAAATGTATTGGTTTGTGGGACTGGGATTTTGTTAATCTCAACGGGTCTATTTCCTATTTTATGATTTAAATTATGCGTAGATCCAATAAACATGACTTTTGTTTTTTTCCTATGATATTTTAGTTTGTTTTTAGCAAGCCATTTATGAATACTGGAAAGGTCCATATTCAAATTGTCAATCAATGTATCGTAATCATGCGAAGAGGAAGATATCTGAGAGTCGTCGGCATAAAGACATGGGGTTGTCCTTTCTAAAATATCAGGCATATCATTAATATATAGCAAAAACAATAATGGACCAAGTATGGATCCTTGCGGAATTCCGCATATTATTGTTCTTGCAGAAGAAGTTTGATCATTAACAGAACACACTTGCTTTCTATTTCTTAAGTATGGTTGGAACCATTTTAATTCAATGTCGTGAATTCCAAACTGGGTTTTAAGCTTCTCCAATAATATCTCGTGATTCACCGAGTCAAATGCTTTACATATATCAAGAAAAACAACTCCATTTATTTTGCCTTCATCCATGTCTTGTAGCAATTGATCACACATTTGTATAAGAGCACCTACGGTTCCATGTTTTGGTCTAAACCCGGATTGAAATTTAGACAGAAGCGCATGTTTATTCAAAAAGCTATATATTTGAGTAAAAACTTCCCCTTCAAATATTTTACTTATTATGGGAAGAATTGAAATTGGTCTATAATTTTCGCATTTACGCTTATCCTCAGATTTGTAAATTGGTATAACTCTAGCTAATTTCCACTCATCTATATAAATACCAGTTCTAATCGATAGGTTAAATATAAAAGTTATAGATGGAGCAATAAGGGTTGATGTCAGTTTTAAAATATTCGCAGGTATTCCATCCATACCTGTCGCTTTTGAGACATTTAGTTTTTGTAGGCGTTTGGAAACACTATCTATAGTAATATCTGCGAATTGAAAATTTTCTTTAGGAAGAAGCACAGTACTTTCATAAATTACTTGATCATTTAAAGCATCAGTGCTTTGACATGCTGATTCAGCAGCCATCTTCATTCCAATATTTATAAAATATTCATTTAATGTTTCAGTAATAGATTTATCATCAGAAATAATATCATCATTTACTTTCAGTTCATTAATATTTGCATTCTTATGCTTTCTTCCTAAGAGCGAGTTTATCCAAGCCCATCCACTTTTACCGTCTCCCATTTGAGAGCTTGCCTGGATTTTATCACAAAAGTACTTAGATTTTGCTTTCCGCATGTTTATATTTACTTCATTACGTAGTGTTTTATATAATTCCCACTGTGACTCCGAATCATATTTTATGGCCTTTTTTTTGTGATAGTCCCTTTTTCTCATAAGTTCTTTAATTTGAGGATTAATCCATGGGACAGGGTTATTCCTTATTCGCTTGTGGCGCAGAGGGGCATGTCTATTAAGTGTATCTAATAATAGTGATTTCCAGATTTGCCAACATAAATTGGGATCTCCAAACTGATAGACCATCTCCCAAGGCAATTGAGACACATCCCGAATGAAATCATTTTCGACAAAGTTTTTAAAGTTACGAACCTGACGAATTTTTTGCCTTCCATTCGGTAGTGTAAATTTTCTCACAGCGTAGACAAGGCTGTGATCTGAAATTCCCAGGTGAATGACACCTGATCTGGAAATATTTTCTGGTCTATTTGTTAATATTAAATCAATTAGTGTAGCTGATTTAGGAGTTAGCCTTGTAGATTCTTTAATAAGTTGGTCTATCTGATACAGAGAACATAAAAATTGCAACTTACATGTGTGAGGGTCAGGTATAGTTTTACTGACATCACAATTTAGATCTCCTATGAGGATTAGCTCCTTATCTTCATTATCACATTTTGCTAGAAAGCTTGCCCAGTAATCAAATATATTCATAAGAGAATTTGGTGGTTTATACCATGTGCTTATTAGCAGTGATTTATTGTAGGGTAAACTTAATTCAATGCAGACCATCTCAAGTTCATCAGGGATTAGATCTATTCTATCTGAGAATGATATGTTTTGGCGAACATATAGAACCACACCAACACCAAACCTATTTCGATCTTTACGAATTATATTAAAACCATCAATATGTATCTCATTATTTGAAATCTGATTATCAATTTTGGACTCATTAATTGCAAGAATGTCAAGGGCGTTATTGTTAAGGTTAAGCGAATTTCATCCAGATGTTTCATTAAGCTATTTACATTTAAGTTGGCTATCTTCAAACCTTTACTTTTGGCGATTATGTTAATTTCACTATCTATGCCTAATAAAGAATTGCTTGGCACATCTTGACAATTTACTTGTTCACGTTCATTATCGCATTTAGTAGTTCTGCCAGATGGTTTATTGTGTTCTTTGGAAAATCCTGACGGGAATGTTTTTGTGGGCGCAGTGAACTTAAGGATTGCCCATCCCTAAGGAACTTAATAAAATGTGTAGCTAGTATGGCAGTCCCCTTTGCATTTAGATGTAGGCCACTAAAGTTCAAACATGTCTCATCTATTGACATATTATTTATAAATGTCACATCATATGCATGCTTAGATGCATGACAAACTCTGAACTTTCTCATTAATTTCTTCTATTTTTGATATTAAATCACTATCCTGTCTCAATGTAAGTCCAGAAATTCCAATTTTAGAATTAGGGAATTTCTGTTTAGCTGTTGTAATAAGTTTTTCCATGTTACCAACACATTCATCTATAGATTCAACAGGGACATCATTTGTCCCTGCGTGAATAACAACATGAGATGGGTCCGGTTTAATATTAATTTTGGCAAGCTCATTAGTTATTTCTATAGTTGTTTTACCTGGATATGTGAATTTATGAAGGGAGGTTTAGGGACACTGTTCTCGCAGTTATTCCCTGGTGTAAGCTTCGATCCACTGGTAACCCGCTTGTTGAGACCTCGCCAATGATTGTTTTCGCTCAGAACCGAAAACACGTCATTGGCCGACATGTGTTTGGGTGTTGCCTGAAAGAAGGAATATATCTCGTGACATACAGGCTGTCTGGCTCAGTGTGGCTGAACCAGTGGTCTGAACTAACTGAAAAAGTTTAAACTAACAACTAACATCTTCTTCGGCCGAGTTCGTTCGAGTGAAGACCGTAAATTTCTTTAATTACCAGGTGTCCAAAAAAAACTTGACACTGATTTCATGTAACGTAAACAAAGCTACAAACGCTATCAGTTGCAATATGAATTGAGAGATGAATTGAGATCTTGATATTGATTACTTTCGATACCTGTCGGTCCGCGGAAAACATTTTTCATTACTGTATGTAACCTAAATAAACTGCCGTATAAGTAAACCAAAAGCACGAAACGTAATAAATATTTTCAATAAATAATTTGGCACACCACATTTTGAATATTAAGAATTATTTATGAATCTTCAACCAAGAAGTGAAGTTTAACAAAAGGCGTGCTGAAGGTCTAAACATTCTTCGAACTAATTGTAACGCAAGCTTTTTAATGCGTCCAAGATGTTAGCCTGATACAGTAAAACGTACGCGCTTGCTTTGACGTACCTCCTTTACATTTTTCAGGCAGGAGTTGGTTCTCTCGCTCCAGTTGACTTTGTAAGTGCCGTAGCAAATCGTCTAAAAAAGGGTTGTGCAAGTATCGAATGATATCACGTCAGTAATCGATACAATTGAAACCGATACCGCTGTTTGTGGTATCGCTGGTATCGAATACCAAGTACTCGCCCATCACCACAGGTATCATCGGGTTCTTGGAAACCGAAAGTGTTCATATTTTACTTAGAAATCGACTTCATCGGGATTCTCTACAGGCACTTAATCGGTTCTTCTATTTTCAATAAAAGTGGTCTTGTAATTTTACTTCACGATGGAATTTCTTCAAACACGACTAATGCTTTCTCATTTGGGGAATATAAAAGCCAGCAATTTGACCTGTGTCGCACAAGATTGCCATGAGATGATGTCGAAGTACAATTGTTCATGTGTGAGACCTCTTCCCAATGTTACTTGTAATGCCCAATCCTTGAATGAAACCTCGGATCTCACTATCTCCATTGTGTTGTGGTCAATTTCTGCATTCATTTTGCTTCTGTTCATCGTAGAATTGTTTGTAATTCGGTAAGTTTCAATGGACAACTTGCATGTTAGACTAAATTTTAATCTAAGTAAAGAAAAGGGAATAAAACACAGCAGTTAAAAAGAAAATAATAAAATTAGTAAAATTGCAAAATTTGCTTGCGCAATGTTGTAAAATGCGGAAAGTATAGCCCTGCGAAGTTTGCATATTTTCAGTATGTTTGTATTACGTGCGGAAATTGAACAATTCCGCACGTAATGCAATTATTATACTGAAAATATGCAAACTTCGCAAGGTTATATTTTCTGTATTTTACAACATTTCGTACCCAAATTTTTCAATTTTACTGATATTAATAAGTCCATTACGGAAATTTACTTTTTTTGCCTAAATCAAAAATTAGTCTAACATGCAAGTTGTCTATTTGTGTCGTGCTGAAATGTTGCGTTAATTAAAGTAATGTCGGGCCGATTTTAGCCATGATTAATCGTAGCGTGTAAATAACCATCCGATTTTATCGCGAGCTCTGGAGCATATTCCAACTCGCAAAATCGTGAACAAAAAATCTGTAGCATTGCTACAGATTTTTCACGACTTTTGCGAGTTTTTCAAGTTGCTCTCCAATCATGCGGTTTTCATACGTGCGTATATGCACGGAAAAGTTTTAATCTAGTTAAATGTTACTTATGAAATAACTGAATGAATAAAAGGAAAGCATATAGTTTTGTGAATGATTTAATGTGCATTTGTACAGATAATTCATACTAGTGTTAAATTTAAAAAGATTTAAACTTTTCCGTGCGTATACGGCGTATACGAACGTATGAAAAACGCGTAACTGGAGAGCAGCCTTTAGCTAAAATATTCTAGCAACGATCGTAAAATGTCGGACCAGTTTTTAATCAAAATATCACCAATGAGATGCAAATTGCTGAAAATCGTTCGCAGAAAATTTTATCAATTCTTTGCGCCGAAGATTTTTCCGAATTCAAGCAAAAGCTACGCCAAAATCTGCGCCAATACTCAGTAGCAAAAAGTTGTCGCGAAAAAATATGCGGTTTTCCGGAATTTCCAAAATTTTCACCGAATTTTCGAATCCTTTCAAATCATAAGTTGAAATATATTATCACATAGTTAATAGAATAGATGGTTTGGAAACTCATCAGAATATCAATATAATATAACTATGTTAGTCAACATTTATTCATAAATATGGTCCTTCACCGTCACGTGTGCCGGTATTGTATTTTTGCATAACTAACCAATAGCAATGTTTGTGCTCGAACAATAGGGTAAATTGAAAATTGCTATTGGTGAATTTGGCAAAAATATAATGCACACGTGACAGTGAAGGAACATATTTATGAATAAACGTTGACTAACATAGATAATGAGTTATATTGTTATTCTGATGAGTTTCACAGCCATCTATTCTAATAACTATGATTATTATAATGTTCAGTTGCTTCACCAAATCGTTGCCAAATTGCTGCGCCATATGAATCTTTGGGATCATTTTGCGCCAAAATACTGCCCCGTAAATCTTTCGGAAATACACCCCCACTTCACCCTGGCAGAAAACTAGCAGGAACAGGGGCCGCCGATTGTGTAAAGGCATTTTTGTAATAATTAAAAGTCGCTATCCGTCGCATGAATTCAAAATTTAATAACAAAACAGCAAATATTTCGGATGAGAAAGGTCAGATTGTTATAGACAAACATAACAATTCACTTTTGATAATTTTCCTGAAGTACACCAGATCAGTTTACTCACATCCGTGTGAGAGTGGATGTTAGTGTTTATTTTATCAAATTAGGTGATACACACTACCTGCAAAATAAGTGCAAATAGAATTTGCTAATCAAGGCAGATAGCACTAAAAAAATTATTTAGCTCACTATTCACTCATTTTAATAGTAGGAAAAGAAATAATAGAACCTTAGAAAATTTGAACTGTGTTGCTTGTTTGTGCACAAATTAGCGCAGAACAGTTTATTTTGTTGTGTATTGTTATGTCTTTTTGGTACAAAAACAGTGCACTGCTCTTAATGCCTCAGAGACTGTTTTCTAGCACAAAAAATGGTACATTCCATACAAGCAGATTTTCAGACCTATGAACCATGCAGTGGCCACTTTTACATTTATACCAAATATAGGCCGATGTAAGGTTCAGACCTGGCCAACTTTTGTTTCTCAAGCACTAAAATACAACTAATGATTTTGAAACTGAGAATGGTTTAGGTGGGAAATAGGCAGGTTAAATTAAGATTGAATTGATAATCACATGCTGTGCTGTTAATCATTGTGTGTGCATGTTTTAACAAATATAATATAGCACAAAGAAACATAGAGAAAGAATTTTCCTACGTTTCCGTGTTGGCATTGAGTTTTTGATACGTTCCAAAAGTGATAGCATTTGACCACATGTCCACAACACTTGTCACCCCTGTGCAAATATGCCCCACCCATTGCATTCATTTCATGTGTTTTAATTAGAAATATGAATATCTATCAGAGATTGAAATTTACATTTGTTTTCATTATACCACCAGAATAGTAGATTTTGAAATTAAATATTCTGTCTGAAATAAAATCATCATTCTTTCACAGAAATGTTTCTGACATTTGTATGGCACTTGATCTCTGAACATGTCTAAGGGGCTGTTGTCATGAACTTCGCAGAATCGCTGTTGACAGAGGGGGAAGGCTTGACGTCCATAAAGATTTTTCAAGACATGATTTTGCCTGATTTTTAAATGGAATCTGCCCGACTTAAAAATGACTGGGGTGGGGTTCTCGTACACCAATGAAAATTTCCATCTTCACAAGCCAATAATAATGCAAACTGCAGTTTATAAACTTTCAACAGCATGTAACGGCTCAGTGGCGCAGCAAACTCGATAATTGGGGGGGGGGGCAATATTCATATATTCGTATTCACAATTAACTTTTAAAACAATGCAGAACACGAATATATGAATATTGGCCCCTTCCCCAATTATCGAGTTTGCTACGCCACTGTAGGCCATTACCATGCACTGCATCCAGTGGAAAATTCCCATTTCTACCAGAAACTAGCTGGTCTACCCTTGATTCTAAATGTCCTAACTGTCAATTCCTATAGGTTTAAATTGTCATTCCTGGACAATTTTTTTGGAAAGCTGGTGTTTTCAATGGCCATTGTTAGCAGTGTGGTGACACAGTTATGTACCATGCAATACCTACAAGACAACAATGATATTACCACCTGGTGCAACGAATTCCAGTGTGTCGTTTCAATTTCCTTCATCACGTTTGGCTGCTATTTTTTATTTAAGCCATCTCAAAATAACAACATTGGCTCGCACGACAGAGGGATGGGACTTGTTGTGAGCATCATTACCATATCAGTTGTTGGTCTTGAAATTGTGCTAATCGTCATGGTATTCTTGCGTAAAAACCTCAGCATTAGTTTTGTTATATATCTAGGTGGTTTTGCATACGAAAAGATCATTCAAGTTGTGCTATACATTCTCATCCGTAGATGCAAGCCTGATCCCTGCTACAGAAGAGGAGCAGTGTTTTATTTTAAATTTTTATCATTTTTAAACTTTACTTTCTGGCTAAACAGCATTTCGTTTTCAGATGTACCCATATACGATGAACTGTCACATGATCATATTCTACAATATGTCGACCAAACATTTAAGGCGTTAATTATCGATTACAGACTGTTGTGTGCTTTCCTGTTCTTGGAGCATGCATTTAAAATTCAGGAAACAATTGATGACGATGAACATGAACATGTTAACAATGAAGTCGACAGTGGATTTCAAATGCCAAGGAAACGTTACTTGTACACAGCTATTGGTCTCAGCATTGGACTGTTCTTTTTGATACTGGAGGTCATAAATGCTGCTCAATTCTGGAACAAATGTTTCCCTAACTTTGTTAATATTTTCCCAATTGTAGTTGATATATGTCTTGTTGTTTTGGGATACTTGTTACTACGAAATGTTAAAATTTCTGTTTTACATGATGAAAAAGTTGATTATGTCTTGCTTATGGTTACATCAATGGGCGCTGCAAGTATTGTATACTTGTTTTGTTTTGGTTTATTGTCGTTATCTTCATTCGAATATGATCAGTCTGTTTCGTATGTGAGATGGTCAGCATGTGTATATTTTGCAAGGGCATTTAGCTTGCTGGTCTTGTTGGTTGTGTATGCAGGAATCCCTGTAAGTACTTTTGAATCGCGACAGAACCATAATACCAAAAACTATCTTTTTGTCTCTGCTCTTTGTTGTGGGATGTTTGCAAGATTTATTGGGAGTATCCTAAATGAATTTAAAGGTACAATGCATGAAACAGCAGTGGAACATCTTGATTCAAAGAAGTTTCGGACTCTGCGAGATTTGTTTGATATCGGGCCATTATTCCAGCTTGCAACCTCTTTGCATTTGGCACTTCATTTCCTGCTAATGTCTTTGCGCCTTCGTGAGCGACCTAACAAACCACGATTAACCGTGAACAAACAAGCTCGTGTAGATGGGCATGGTGAACCTATTAGAGGTGATTATGTTGAACCTATTAAAGTTAATTATGGTACACTGTCAGCAAATGGTGTTGCCAGGCAACCGGATGGTGATGTTGATGTACATTTTAGATCATCTGGTGTGCAAATATTTGAACGTGATGATGATGAACGTACAAGATTGTTACCGCCATATCAACGATGTTAATTCTGTGAACTGTGTTTATGACTTAAGATGTTGCAAACATTGTTTTAAATACAGCATCACGAAGGCAAGAGACGTAATGTTGTAAGAAACAGGATTATAACAACTGTATATATTGTTTATATTTTGTTGATTTCTGCCTATCTGTTGACGTTTGTGTCTGTTGATTGACGTATGTATGCAGTATATAATATACCGCTAAACTAATTCAACTTTGAAATGTCATTCTGGATGTTTATCGAAGTACAAATCATCCCGGTTATCCAGAGCATCCCAGCTTCATAACAGCCCCTAAAGCCGGTTTTCCATCCGCGCGCAAAATTCCGTCTAATGGAAAACCGGATAACGGGCTAGCTCGACTAGTATTCGGGGAGTGTAGCTAGCTATCATCTAAACCTGGAGTAAATGGTTATCAACTCCAAAAATAGTCTAAAAATAAGATTAAAATAGCTGTTGAGCCAAATTCAAAAGCTACAATTGGGGCAGGATTTCCCTGAGTAATTATACATCAGTTGGAGTTTGGTTTCAATTATCCATTCTCGTCCCCAGGCTACTACTTTTGATTCGCAACAGACATGCTTCTATCCTTAAGCAAGGAACATATAGTATACCCATGCATGTAATACTTAGAAGAGGAAAAATGAACTGAGCATTTTTGATAGTTATAGATAAATAGTTTTTTTTTAGCATAATTATTCAGCATTATTTGTTGTATTTTTTTGTTGTACTAGATAGTATAAATCTTTTTAATTAATGACAAATGTATGATAACATAATTCAGCTTGCTTTTGCGGCTACAAAGTTTCCTTAATAAAGCATACAATAGATTAGGGCATGATTTCTTTAAAAATGTTCTGTAAATAAACCAATTGAAATTAAAAACGTGCTGGTTAAGCAATCAATGTAAGCAATCCAATTAAGCAATCCAAAATAAACCAATATCCTTTATGATAATTTCCCTGTATTGAAAATCATGTTGCGGTTCTTTGTCCTCAACTCTCCCAATTCATTGCATGTGGAGCTAGTGTCATGGTAAATGACCAAAACTTGTTTCAGCATTGTTCGCGGGAGGTCGTGAAGGTTTTTGTCAATGTATATATGTAAACAGCTTTGCAAGTTATAGAAGGAACAGCCCCAAGGGTTTTAAATCCAAGATGGTATACCCGTCTAAACGACGTAACATGCTTTTTCACATCGCTGCTGCCTATTAGTTAGAAATTTGGATAGCCAACATTACCGGTCTTGCTTCAGTAAGATAGACACATAATTGCACAGTTTAATTCGTGTAATTCATATCTTGCCTATATTAGGTAGATAAGTACATCAGTATATAACGATAGTGCTAATTTATAAACAATTATGTAAATGTAGAATAGGTTTACTGTAATATTTAATAGAATCAGTTTTTTTAATGAAGAGCTACTGATTTACTGTAGTTTATAGCTGTGATGGCAACTAAATGCCTGCATGCACGATAATTTATATATAATGAAAATTCTATGATTCAAGCATTTTCAAAACTGCAAAAAGGGAAAAATCAAAATATGGATGTCCATATCCGGGGTTCGTGCTACTCCTTAAATACTATTTGAATAAGTTTTGACTTTTCAAGGGCGCTTGAAAAGCTCTTGAAATTTACAGTTTTAAAAAAACTCCACAAACGCTCCTTGAAAATTTTTTGCCAGTAAATAGTAAGTGAAACTATAGTATTAAGTTTTGTTAATTGCCATAGGTATTTCGTTGTGCAAAAACCGGCGTTAGAAACGGATCGTTGATACATATTCTTCAATATTACACCGGTCAATACTTGGGCTTGATCTGGGTTCGATTTTCCTGCCATTTTCCTTTCATTTTCTTTGAGAGAAAACATCTCAAACAGTCCTTGAAAAGTGCTATTTTACTACTTAAAAACTCCGTAATTACTCCTTGAATTCAACTTTTTAAGACCAGCACGAACCCTGATATCGTTCCAGGAAAAAACCCTGTGAAACGCGTCATGTTTCTATCGGCCAAACCGACCAATATATAATATTGAACAGAACGAAAGAAACAGGAAAAATAATTCGGGCAAAAGTATCCAACTCATAACGAGACTTTTTGTTTGGTTTTGTCTCGTTTCGTCCGGTTGCTGTTTGAATCCTGTCCAAACACTTGGCAAGCTTTTGAAGGATGACATCATCAATTTCAGGATTGGAGGGAGGTTTAGGGACACTGTTCTCGCAGTTATCCCCTGGTGTAAGCTTCGATTCACCGGTAACCCGCTTGTTGAGACCTCGCCAGTGACTGTTTTCGTTGAGAACCGGAGGCACGTCATTGGCCGACATGTGTTTGGGTGTTGCCTGAAAGAAGATATATATTTATTATCTTGTGACATACAGGCGTTGTCTGGTTCAGTGTGGCTGGACCAGTGGTCTGAAATAACTGAAAAAGATTCAATTAACAACTAACATCTTCTTTGGCCGAGTTCGGCGTTTCAATTCGAGTGAAGAACGTTAGTTTCTTTAATTAGAGTAATTAGAATGTTCCATTGTTTCGAAAACTCTCTCCATGTAATCCAGTCACTTTCCTATTTTTTTGTATTATCAATACATAAGTCATGCATGGTATGCCAAGCACTTCCTCCAGTAATCAGGGGCGCCGGAACCACGGGGGCAGCGGGGGCAACTGCCCCCGTTCCCCAAACGTTGCGGGGGCAGCACGGGGGCAACAGGTTGCCCTTTTTGCCAGAATTGCACCTCAAAATTTGTGCATTATTCACACGAATTGGAATTTAGAACTATGTGCTGTTTTTTAATAGCTGGAGGGTGAAGTAGTCACATAGTAAGGTATGACAACTATTCAAAAACAGCTATTCAAAAACAGCATTGACACTCGAGAGAAGCTCAGATTGAACCTCTACTCATTGAGTGTGATCATGAGTGAGCTTTTAGAATACTGGCGTGCTGATTCAGTTTCCTCAAACAGTTTTTGCAAATCTTTCAAAACTTGGAATTTACCGGCCCAGAGCCAGTGTGAGTGAGCTTTTAGATTACGGGCACATTTCTTACAAATTGCAAAATTCCTATTCAACATTACTACTATGATCACAGAAACTTTGATAGTAAAATAGCGCGCGATTGTCTCATTGGCTGCAGGCTAGATTGCGTGATAAACAGGGTGAAGATATAAAACAACCTACATACTTTGTTACTTTCATCTTGTCGGGCAGCGACATTCTCAAACCTCCAACATAGCACGGATTCGATAAGACTGAAGAAGATAAATGCGAATGATGTCAAGAGATAAATATCCATTGCTTTCACATAACTCATTTTGGGCACGGAAGAATTACCATAACTGAGTAAAAACATTATGGTTAAAATTGTCGTGACTCCAACTGTCAGACGGTTGCCTGTGTCTCGCTTGTCCATCCAGAAAGCTATCCAGCTCAGCATCACTAGGATAGCGCAAGGCAGGTACACCTGCAGGAGATAGTAACCCACACGACGCTTGAATTCAAACGTGGCTGTTAAAACAGTGAAATTACCTAAAAAAAGAGTGATTAAATTAGTGGCTGTCTTACTGAGTTCTTTGTAGGTTTGCCGGCATGACGATAAAACATACTTTTGTTTGTGGAAACACCACGTAAATTTATTACGGCAAAGCTTTCGATCCGTAAGCCCGGATCTTCATCAGTGCTAATAGTATTTAGTGGCTGTCTGTTGGGTTTTATCACTTTGCAGTGTGTATTTTTTAGGTCTTTTAGTGATGGATATTTTTGCCTCAATCCCGTATAGAAACAAATTGCTGAAACACACTTTTATACGGAACTGATAGATGAAGTTAAAAATTCATTATGTACCATTTAAAACATGAGCAGGAGTACTTGATCAGATATAAAACACGAGAGCACAGCTCGAGTGTTCTATTTCTGATAAAGCACAGACTTTAAATGACTTAAAATACGACCCATCTTATGAATTCATTGGCGCAGTAGCTAATTTCAAACCTAAACGTTGTCTAAGCCGAAAAAATCAAAGCTAAAGGAGTAATTTAAAGCCGTTATGTAAATGAACATGATTTTTTATCACAGACAAAACCACCGATTAATTATTAATGTAATGAGGTTTGAATATTATATACTGAAAAAGTTGTTTTAAATAAGATTTCCTTTCGTATGAAAGATGGATAATAAGAGATGCCTCTTACTGGACCTCCAGGAAGAACAGTTTAAAACTAATGAGCATAGGCGTACCGGGCGGGGGGGGCGGTAGCCCCCCCAGTTTTTTGGGCAGTCGGGCAATATTCGATCAACAGTCGGGCAATTTTGGTTTGCAATAAAAAAAAATGGGACAAATTCTGTCAATTTTGTCTAAAATTAAGTCAATTTTTTGGCAAATTTTGTGATTTTTCGAAAATTTGTGTTATGCTCCGAAAAAATTGGTTGTCCGGAAAATTTTTTTGATCCCTAAAATGGTACACTGACCGAAATTTTTTTGGCGACCGGGGGGGGGGGTGGGTGGGGGGTCGCCAAAATAATTTTTCCGGAAAAATTTTTTGGTACTAGTCGGGCAATTTTCTTTCCGCCCCCCTAATTTTTTCCTTCCGGTACGCCCATGCTAATGAGCTATCCGGCGCAGTATATAAAGTCTTCCTTTGTAAATTTAGTATTTTCATTCAAACTTACCGGAATAGTAAATAATATTCCGTGTCGAGGAGGAAGATTTGACCAACACAAACTGTGCCAACTCACGAATCAATGTGTTGGAAGTCGACACCTTGTTCCACTGATACGATACAGATTTCACGGAATATCCGTCTGCAGGAAAATAACAAAATGTGCCAGTTATAAACGGGAATAAAATACACTGAAGAATTTATTCGCACACGGGAAAGTTTTTTTTTTTTTTTTTGGGGGGGGGATATATTACTCATTTACTCCCAACAATATTGCCCAACTCCTAGCTTTATTACCCCCCCCCCCCCCGACCTTGTAGACTATAAATCTGTCTTCGATTTACATGTAAAATGACTAATTTCTACTTCTTTTACCTTATTTGTTATAAAAATTCCATTTCATTCTTTTATTTTATAATATATAATTTTATTTTAAACCAATTTATAGCCAAATATCGTTTGAATAAAGTAGTGACTGAAATTTACCAAATTAGGCAAAACATTTTTAGCGCCAAAAAAGATGCTTCGTTGTTATTGGTCAGTTTGTCAGCTCTACAATTGGTCACATTTCATGAATCTTGATTGGCTAGAAATATACAACGTACAGGAAATATCCCCCCTGATTAGCACGTGACGCTCACTGGAAACTGGAATTTGTTTGCACAGGTTCTTGGAAAGTGTTTATATTATTTGAATTTGGGATTATTTAGAAATCGATTTCAAGGGAATCTCCACTTAATTGGTCCTCTATTTTGGATAAAAGCAGTCTTGTTATTTTTACTTCACTCTTCACGATGGAATTTCTTCAAACGCGACTAATGCTTTCTCATTTGGGGAATATAAAAGCCATAAAAGTGAAGTCTAGTTACTCCTATGGCTATGGCCACCAATATGTAAATCCTGACAGCAATTTGACCTGTGTCGCAGAAGATTGCCATGTGATGATGTCGAACTACAATTGTTCATGTTTGAGGCCTCTTCCCAATGTCACTTGCGATGAAACCCCAGATCCTAATATCCCCATTGTGTTGTGGTCAATTTCTGCATTTATTTTGTTCCTGTTAATCCTCGAATTATTTGCAATTCGGTAAGTCTCAATTTGTGTCGTACCTACTGAAATGTTGCATTATCTTACCCATTGCCACAAGGCTTGACTTTGGTTTGGCTGGTGGGCACAGAGTTTCTAGTATTGCACAACTGTGTTGGTGCACAAATACGATTTAGGAACAGTTTATACTAGACTTTATACTATTTTTAGATATTTAGGGTTAGGATTTATTAGCCAATTAGGTATATAGGGTTAGGATTAGGGTTAACTTTAATTTTAAAATACAAAAGAATACAAAATTACAAAGGTATAAAAACAGTAACTCTTCCTAAAATGGGACAGGTATAAGTGGTTGAGGTGGAAAACAGGCAGCTGGTTAAATTAAAATTGACTTAATAGTAACATGCTAGCTGTTAATCATTGTGTGTGCATGTTTATATATTCATCAATAATACATAATAATATGGACTATAGCAACATATTCTCTTGTGCATGAATCATATTTTTGTATGTAGGAAATTTTGTGGCAGAAGTCAGTTTCAGTGAGGTGGGTGGATCTGCCATAATCATTTGAAGACATTCCAAAAGTGATAGCATTTGACCACATGTCAACAACACTTGCAACTGTCACCCGTGTGCAAATATGCCCCACCTATTGCATTCATTTCACATGTTTTAATTAGATATATGAACAACTATCAGGGGTTGAAATTTACATTTGTTTCCATCATACCACCAGAATAGTAGATTTTGAAATTTAGTATATTCTGTCTGAAATAAAATCATCATCCTTTCACAGAAATGTTTCTGACATTTGTGAGGCAAGACCTTTGAACATGTCTGATGATGTCATCATAAACTTACCAGAATTGCTATCGACAGGGGGCTTGACATCCATGAAAATATTTCAAGACATGATTCTGTCTTATTTTTAAATGGAATCTGCCTGACTTAAAAATGACTTGGGGGAGAAGTGTGGCTCTTGTACACTTATGGAAATTTCCATCTTCACAATTAGCCAATAGTAAGAATATAGACTGCAATTTGCAAACTTTCAACAGCATGTATAGCAGTTTACCATTGTGCATTCCATGGAAAATTCACATTTCTACCAGAAACTAACTGATCTACTCTTGATTCTAAATGTCCTAACTGTCAATTCCTAGGTTTAATTTTTCATTCCTGGACAATTTTTTTGGAAAGCTGATATTTGCAATGGGCATTGTTAGCAGTGTGGTGACACAGTTCTGTACCATGCAATTCCTACAAGACAACAATGATTCTATTACTATCTGGTACAACGTAGTCCTGGGTGCCATTTCAATTTTCTTTATCACATTTGGCTACCACTTTCTATTTGTGAAATCTCCAAATAACAACATTGGCTCGCACGACAGAGGGATGGGACTTGTTGTTGTCTTCATTTCCGTACTGGTTGTTAGTCTTGAAATTGTGCTAATCGTCATGGTATTCAAGCGTGAAAACCTCAGCGCTGGTTTTGCTATATATCTACTTGTTTTTGCATGCGAAAAGATCGTTCAAGTTCTGCTATACATTGCCATCCGTAGATGCACGCCTGATTCCAGGTGCAGAAGAGGATCAGTATTCTATTTTAACTTTTTATCATTTTTAAACTTTACTCTTTGGTTAAACAGCATTCCGTTTACAGATATACCCATATACGATGAAGTGTCACATAATTATTATCTACAATATGTCGACCAAACATTTAAGGCGTTAGTTATCGATTACAGACTGTTGTGTGCTTTCCTGTTTTTGGAGCACGCATTAGCAATTGATGATGACGGACATGAACATGTTAACAATGAAATCGACAGTGGATTTCAAATGCCAAGGAAACGTTACTTTTACACAGCTATTGGTCTCAGCATTGGGCTATTCTTTTTGGCACTGGAGATCATAAATGCTGCTCAATTCTGGTACAAAAGTCTTCCTGATGTTGTTAATCTTTTCCCAATTCTAGTTGATACAGGTCTTGTTGTTTTGGGATACTTGTTACTACGAAATGTTAATATTTCTGTTTTACATGATAAAAAAGTCAATCTTGTCTTGCTTATGGTTACATCAATGGGTGCTGCAAGTATTGTATACTTGTTTTCTTTTGGTTTATTGTCATTATTTTCATTTAAATATGATCAGTCTATTTCGTATGTGAGATGGTCGGCATGTGTGTATTTTGCAAGGGCATCTAGCTTGCTCCTTCTATTGGTTGTGTATGCGGGAGTCCCTGTATGTACTTTTGAATTGCGACAGAACCATAATACCAAAAACTATCTTTTTGTCTCTGCTCTTTGTTGTGGGTTGTTTGCAAGATTTATTGGGAGTATCCTTGATGAATTTAAAGGTACAATGCATGAAATAGCAGTGGAACATCTTGATTCAAAGAAACTTCGGACTCTGCAAGATTTGTTTGAAATCGGGCCATTATTCCAGCTTGCAACCTCTTTGCATTTAGCACTTCATTTTCTGCTAATGCTTTGGCGCCTTCATGAGCGACCAAACGAACAAGCTTGTGTAGATGGGCGACCTGACGAACAAGCTCATATAGATGAGCAACCTAATGAACAGGCTCGTATAGATGGGCATGGTGAACCTGTTAGAGGTAATTATGGTGCACCTATTAGAGTTAATTATGGTACACTGCCAGCAAATGGTGTTGCCAGGCAACCGGATGGTGATGCTGATGAACGTTTTGGATATTCTGGTGTACACCCCTTTCAAGGTGGTGATGATGAACGTACAAGATTGTTACTGCCAGATGAACGATGTTAATTCTATGAACTGTGTCTATGACTAAATGGACGACTTGCGCTTTAGACTAAATTTTAATCTAAGTAAGAACAACGAAATTTATCACCACAGCTGGAAAGAGTGTCTTGGAATTAGTAATATTACAAAGTTTGGTTGTGAAATGTTGTAAAATACGGAAAATATAGCCCTTCAAAGTTGGCAAATTTGTATACTTTTGTATTAACTAAATTAGTTACCAATTTCCGCACGTAATAGAAATGTATACAAATTTGCCAACTTCGCAGGGCTATATTTTCCGTATTTTACAACATTTCGCAACCAAACTTTGCAGTTTTTCTAATTTTGATAACTTCTTTCAGAAAATATCCTTTGTTATTCCCAGATTAAAAATTTTTCTAAAGCGTAAGTCGTCCATTAAGATGTTGCGAAAATTGTTTTAAATACAGTATCACGAAGCCAAGAGACATACTGTTATAAGAAACAGGATTATAAATATTGTTCACTTTTTGTTGATTTCTGACTATCTGTTGACTTCTGTGTCTGTTGATTGACGTATGTATACAGTTGTATACCTGCGACGCTATCTCCAATCCAAAGTCTAAGGGCTGTTCATATGAGGCGGGCCAACCCGCCGGATGAATCGTGTTACGAAATTATTTTCCTGGCCAAAAAAGCACGTCTGAATGAACTTTATATTGTTACTGGAATCAAACTAAACTAATTCAACTTTGAAATGTTATTCTGGATGTCTACCAAAGTACAAATCATCCTGGTTCTCCAGGCAGAATACCAACAGCCCTAAGGGGCTAGCTCCAAGTATTCGGGGATTGCAACTAGCTATCATCTAAACCTGGAGAAAATGGTTCCCAGGCTACTACTTTTGGTTCGCAACAGATATGCTTCTATTCTTAAGCAAGGAACATGTAGTGTGTCCATGTCATACTTACAAGAGGAAAAATGAACTGAGCATTTTTGATAGTCCATTGGAAAATCACGTAAATCCATTAGACATGATGTCTTTAAATATGTTCTGTAAATAAACCAATTGAAGTTAAAAACGTGCTTGTTAAACAATCAATGTAGAAGACAAGGATCTTTTAGGATTTTAAGTAGTATTTGTAAAGTGAGGTGTACCAATTTTGATCCCGTCCAAGAACTGAATTAATTTTGATCCAGTCCTAGGACTGCATCAATATTCTTCACCAGGTATCCAGTATTATTATGTGAGCAAAATAAGGCAATATGGTTGGCTAATTTACTCATGGATTATTAATGAATTTGAGAAAAAGGTGTGTTCGATGAGTGATAATGGTTAATGATGATTGATATGATGATGGTTGCTGATGATGATGTTGTTGATGGTGGTCATGTTTGATGGTGATGATGTTGTTGATGGTGACGATGATGTTGTTGATGGTGATGATGTTTGATGGTGATGTTGTTGATGGTGATGATGTTGTTGATGGTGATGATGTTTGATGATGATGTTGTTGATGGTGACGATGATGTTGTTGATGGTGATGATGTTTGATGGTGATGTTGTTGATGGTGATGATGTTGTTGATGGTGATGATGTTTGATGATGATGTTGTTGATGGTGACGATGATGTTGTTGATGGTGATGTTGTTGATGGTGGTGATGATGATGTTGATGGTGATGGTGATGATGTTTGATGATGATGTTGATGGTGACGATGATGTTGTTGATGGTGATGTTGTTGATGGTGGTGATGATGTTGTTGATGGTGATGATGTTTGATGATGATGTTGTTGATGGTGAAGATGTTGTTGATGGTGATGATGTTGTTGATGGTGATGATGTTTGGTGATGATGTTGTTGATGGTGATGATATTGTTGATGATGATAACGTTACGAGACCCGACCTTCCTTAACGAGATATATCGCATATTGTAATTGTATGCTGAAAAGCCTTTTGGGGAGCATACAAAGTTTTTAATAATAATAATAATAATAATAATAATAATATAATAATAATAATAATATCAGGATGATAATGAATGTAGCAAAATAATTTTTGTCTCAACCCACCCTCTACTGTATGTCAGACGTCCAGACGGATCCAGTTTAATCATGCTATGCGCGTGTTCATCAGTCATCATTAGATCACTTTGTCTTGCGTTAACACAGTATGTGTCTGGGATCCAAAATAAACCAATATCCTTTCCTATAACCACTGTCGAGGTGTTCACCACGTCCTTCAGACGAGGGTCTGTCCATTTCTGAACCAAATACACGTACAGCGAGAATTCCTAGAAAATGTAGTAAGAATATAGTATATAGTTTATGTTAAAAATTAATAATTTTTATCAATGACAAGAACCTCGTTACCATTGAAGATTCTTTAATATCGTCAAAAGATTCGATAACCAGTTGTACATCTAGTTTAAGCGGTTGTCCTGGAAAAAGGGAAAAAATATGTTGACCAAAATCAAATCTAATTAATAGATAGCTCTATCTAGCTATATCAGTACTAAACTGTTCTCCCTAGAGATCCAGTAAAGATCTCATTGATCCAGTGTTACTACAGGAGAAAACCTAAACTAAACTAACATTAAGTTCTTTGAATAAACAAAAAAAACTAAAAACAAAACTAACATTAAAAACTAAAACTAAACTAACATTATTTATACTGGATAGCTCTATCAGTTCTAAAATGTTCTCCGTAGGGGTCCAGTAAGGATCATCTCTTATTGACCCAGTGTTACTACAGGAGAAAACCTAAACTAAACTCACTTTATTTATACTGGATAGCTCTATCAGTTCTAAACTGTTCTCCCTAGGGGTCCAGTAAGGATCATCTCTTATTGATCCAGTGTTACTACAGGAGAAAACCTAAACTAAACTAATGTTATTTATACTGGATAGCTCTATCAGTTCTAAACTGTTCTTCCTAGAGGTCCAGCCCGTATTGCAGCGCCGTTTGCTGACGAAAATTTTAAGTATAGGAATCTATCTTTATCTATACAGAATATGAATCCGGTTCTAAACTGTTCTTCCTAGAGGTGAACTTTACCTGGTGCAGTATGACTGTCGTAGCTTTTTGTTTGTAAAAATTCCAGCAAAACTCGAGTTCTGTTGTTTCTCCATGTCTCTTGCTTGACGCTACACGAAGACAAAAGACTAATTAATTCATTCTCATTTTTCACTTACAATATACAGTCAGGGTTAAGAAAAGGTACTGATTGAGGTTAAGGTCAAATATAAATATATTCGTACATCTGCGAAACATATGAGGATATTACTCATTAATTAGCGACGCGCAATTAAAATAGTAAAGGGGGGAGGGGCAGAAAAAAATCCATGGCAAGCAAAAATAAATCTGAAAAAATGCATACAGCAAGAAGGTGACAGAAAAATATCACAACACCAAAAAGAACATGCACACCAAGTGAACCGTAAAAGTATCCATTCGTGGCACCGTCCCTCAAATGCATATGAACGTGCCAATAGCCGTTTTCACATTAGAAGACGGACAAGTCGTCTAGACGAACAAATCGTCTCAAAATCGTCTTCTAGTCGGACAAATCGTCAGATGTGAAAACGTGTCGTACAGAATTTTAGACGAACAAGTCGTCTGAATTTGTTCGACTACTTGTCCGTCTGTGAAGACGATTTTTGAGAGACGATTTGTTCGTCTAGACGACTTGTCCGTCTCTAATGTGAATAGGGCTATTGACAGTTAAGCTCGAAAAATATTTCTTTTCAAGCAAACGGTCTTCTTCAGATAATTAGTATTTCTTCAATCACATACTGTCTGACGCGCGAAGGCCCTGTGACTCTATATACTGAATCAAACACTAATATTTTCTGTTATCTTATGGTAATATGGAGCAATCGTATATACTTGATAAGCTAATGTTTGTAATAAGAAGCCAGGATGAACTGATTGCCTGTGGTTTTTCACTCGAGAGTTAAAGCCGCCCATTGTGGTTAGAAAAATATTAATTAAAAAATTTCATCAAAAATGGGTTCTTAATCTTTTCGTAGTTCAGACACAATATTGTGTAGAATTTTATCTATACACTGGATTTCCACAAATGGGATTTTCAATTACAGTATTATATGACCCTTAATAATGTGATAACTATACTGTTTCAGCTTTGACATATACCTCTTTCATTTCAAACTTTTAAAAAACGTCGAGTATCGTGAAAACGTGTGACATATTTTTCTCTGGTAAGACTCTTCAATTCACAGACACTAACACTGTGTGTGCATGCAAGAACACTGAATCATATACAAAATTCTTGTAAACAGGAAAAAACTGCTGCATTACTGACCTTTGATTTGTTGTGTTTGAACGAAAAGCAAGCAAGGCAACTGCGTTTGTTATAAGAATAATTTTAAAAAACATCTCTTCCAGTTTTCTTTCTATGAAATCACTTCCCAGTTTTTAAATATCAGTTATTGAGTCTTTCTCTTAAGAAAATAGTCAATATTTAATCTTTGCTTGTAGATAAGTCGCTGTTATCGCTGCCGTCAGCCGAAGAGTGATACAGTTGGCTTATGCTTTAATATGATATTTATTATTTAGTACCCTGGTAGACCACAGTCACATTTTAATTGCGACATTCTAGTAATGGCATATTGGCATATAATTTGAGGCAGATGAGGTGACCTTCAAATCGTTTCCCGTTATTTGTTTTCGGTAACACGTAAGTTTGGGAGCTGTGAAATTCTGCTTTAGATAAACGTATTTTATATATTTTCTAGTATATAATTCATGCACCGACACGGCAGTGACTTCACGGTAGCGAGTTATTAATGCGTTTTCTAAATACATTTAGGTAGTATTTAAAACATGAGAAGGAGTGTTTTATCATATTTAAAACGCGAGGCGCAGCCGAGCGTTTTAGATATGATAAAACGCGAGTTCGAATGTTTTGAATAGCTTAAAATACGACTACAAAAGAATATATATATATATATATATATATATATATATATATATATATATATATATATATATATATATATATATATATATATATATATATATATATTTAAAAAAATCATTAATAATTCACGAGGAAAATACAAAAGAAATGAATGTTTAATCAATGTTTGTAAATCGGATAAAGATTTGTCCTGATTTACATAAACTTCAACTTTGACCATTCGAAGGCATGATTGTTTCGTTTTGTGAATGTTCAATTTCCATATACCACTTTTGGATGTCGTATTTGAGGACAGTCTATAAAATAATACTAAACTTCAGTTCAAATCAAATACAAAATTAACCCGGAAGTCATTATTGATGAAGTTGAAGTAATACATGACTCGATGATATCTATACGCATCACTGAGCAATCGATTCCGACATCTCTGCATTGCCTGCGTGTGTAACCAATCAGATACAAGCACTCAAGATGAGTTTATATATGAGTTGATTCAGTAGATTAATCTCACATCAGAATATTGTTTTCTGATTAAGAAGGAGCCCTCAAAGTCTTGTTTAATTAAGTTCTTGGAAAAATAATATGTAAAGTACAGACGCAAACAGAAACAATAATACACATATATAGAAGAATTTTATCGTATACCAAAACCAATTTCTCTTAAATGAAGCTATTCGAAATATTGAATTTTACATTTTACAAACATTTAATATGAATGTATGTATACAGACTATACATGCAGTAGAGTGGTTCTATTTATTCAGCTTCTCTCGGTGTTTAATTGCCGCCATATGCTGTTTTGTCTATTTATAAACAGTTTTTCCAAGCACTATGATACACCTATAATTCTATATTAGTTGTTTCCCTTTCTCTATTTTTGTGAATTACTGAAGAACCATTATCAATGAGAGAGATTTAGGGTAAGGTTTAATATTGTTAGAAGTGCTTTGTCCATTCTTTTTCGTTTAGTTAACGATCTTGAAGAATAGCCGCCATCTTGAAAACCTCCAACGACGATATTTTTTCATGTGCTGATCGATTTTCCCCAAAATGAGACACAAGAATGTTCTTTATTTGACCATCCTGTAAGTCACTGCTCAATTTTTTACTATCACGCACGTTTTTCGTAGATTTTTCTTATCTGTTCATTTTCTTTCTCTCGTCTCATTATTTCTCATTCCACACGAGCTATTGTGAAATGTTACTGTTAGCATTCGGCTGCATTACCATTTACTTTTTGAACGATACAGTCAGTATGCATGGTGTTAAAGGGGTCATGGTACAAGGTCATGGTTAGCCAGTATGCATGGTGTTAAAGGATGCACCCCTTCGTGTCCAGACACCTTCACAATCACAGCCATCGACGTCGAACATTTCCCCCACATCTGCAGCAACTGTCTGTCGTTCTGTCCAAAGACAGAATAAAGAAAAATATCTCCATATCAAATTTTAGTCTATATTTAGACTATAGATAAGTCGGAGGAATAGCTAATCAGTTCAAGATGGGATTTTGAAAAACCACTCCAAATGTAAACCGACTGACAATAGTCGTATTTGAGTAGTTACCAAATGGTATTCCAGTACGGCAGTTCAATTTTTTATTTTAGTTGTGTTAAATGATATTGTTAATTCTAAATAGTTCAATGACAGAGCGTTTTCAACGAGATCTTTAGAAGAGCTTGCAAAGCTTGACGAAAGTCTTGTTTATAATACGTATATAACAATGGATTAATGAGCGAAGGCATGAAGACAAGAAGATGAGTCATTTGCATGAAATCTACTGAAACTGAATTACGAAAATTTTCAGTATCAATGTACGCGAGAAAAACTCCAAGGTACCAGGTTAGCCGGCAAACTGTAAACGACCCTAACATCAATGCGAATGCTTTTAAAACCTTACGATTATGTGTGGGTGATATTCTAGACGATTCTGACTCCTTGATTGAGTCACTCTGAGATCTAACTGGACTACGAGTAGATGTGAGGCTGAAACTTTCAACAGGACTTCCTGGCAATGTTGCGCTTTCATCGATAAAACTAAACGAACGAGAAATGGCTCTAAGCATTCGAACTTGAGCAAACACGATAAGAAGAAAAGGTGCAACAAAGAAAGCAACAAATGTCACGGTAAAATAGACGAGTTCTTTTCTAATGAAGTCGGTATCCACTGACTCGCCGTCGTGTAGCCATACCAGTGGAAGTATAGCGACCGCACAAGATCCGCACCAAATACAGCCACTTACAACGCGAAGATGTTTCTTTTGAACGTCGCAGAAAGGGTGTAGAATGCTGATATATTTCTCGAAAATAATCGCAAGGATATGGAGAATGCTCGAGAACGCAATAAATCGGAACAGAACTGAGGACGCAATGCACACGTTCCATTGATGTCCTTCAAAGCATTTTAGTGTAATAGGAATAACCACTGTACCTGCACATAAATCGGATAACGCTAAACTGGCCAAAAGTAAATTCTTGGTCGAACGTATACGAGGATTTATATGATATAATAGTAGTACAGTTGCGTTGCTAATCGCGATTAGGACCGACAGGATTATAAAAACAGTTTCGTAGATTGTTGCATGTTTGTCATCCGTCGTGAGGTCATTTGCACTCGTATTCTGGCTTCGGTTGGAACCAAACGCTTCCATCTTTCGATCGCTTGAAATAGTTTCCTCGATATCAACGATCTCCTTGAGTATTCGTCTTTTATCTGTAGCACTACGGTGGTCGCGCTGTGATATAGATAATTTTTATGAAGTAAATGAGCTCGCATTCGCTCCGGTAATGATGAAAAAAAATGCATTGACAATAAAACAGCTGTTCAATCGCGACTTCATTGGTCTAACATGATAAACGTTGCGTTTAATATTATATCTCCGTTGACAGCTAAATAGACAAAGCACTAGGTTTGAGTGACTATATCGGATTGAAAAATTCGTATCCGAGCCGATTTAAATTGTTTGAATTCTAAACGCATGTCTTCCCCAATTCCCAGCTCATTTTTCATTACTATGTGATGACATATTGGCGGCAATAAAAAGAGGTGAAAATATTATATGTATGAAATTTATTAAACGAAAAAATTAACATACAACAAGCTGTTATCGATAAAAAAACAAGACGCAGCGCGTAGGCAAGTTTCTCACAAACTTTAATAAACACTAACCAAAGTTAAATTGAAAAGGGAAACAGGCTACTGGGGTCCAATAAGATGCTGAATACAAGGGTTGTACTCGGTTAAATATTTATGAAAGTCTGTGTGACAATACTCAATAGATGACTGTTATCCTCTTATGTGCACCGCATTCCACAGCGCCGTACAATGAGGTTAATGTTTGGGAAAGAAATCTCAGAATTACCCAACAATATCATAAACGTTTTGGTTCATTTCTCCCGTTTCCTGTGCCCGGATCAATGCGGAACAACGCGTGGGCGTGACTGTCAACTCATTAACTATCATCCTCGTTGGACCGGGGGCTTCACATTGGATCAGAGAAACTAATAACTCTTTCAGGCCCGTTCACCACAAAGAAAAGTCAGGGAAGGGGGGCCCTAATTTCTCCAGAGGGGGCCCAAATGCTGGAATTGCGAAACGTGTTAAATATTTGGAAATATTGTGAAAAATTGAGGTCGAAAAAATTTTGAAAAACGTATTTTTAATCCACGAAAAACGTATAGCTACCTCCCCCGCCCCGCTCGCCAACATTTCCGGACATTTTTTTCAGGGTGGGACACGGCATTTGAGATTCAAGAAAGCTATTGACATATTGTAACCGACTAACCCTCAATAAACTCGTCATTGCAGTTTAATTAAAAGCTCGTGACAGGAAAACGATAACTTTAATATGAATGTTTTTCAACAAGAGTGTTTTTTACACAAACAATTTAGGATGTTAGACTAATATTAGTAAGTAAACCTTTAATAAAAATCTTGTGAATAACAACAGTAGACCGGATTGACACGTAGTGTCGTAGTTAATTTGTTGTTTATATATATTTCGAAACTGATTTGGTCATAAAAAGCGGTTTTAGTTGAAAGACCCCAAACTTTTTTTCATTTACTAATGATTTAGATATAATTAAATTTTAAATGAAGTTTTGAGGAAATAACCCCTTGCCGCTGACAAGGTTTTATATTCGAACTCAGTCTTTTCGCAACATTTAAAACACGAACTAACACAATTTTTTTGAAAAATGATTTGTTTTTTCCCGAAAAAATCCTTTTTTGAAGCATTCATGCCATATCTCACGGGACTGCAAGTGTTTTTGAAGAACGGACGCTTTCCCTTCCTCTTGTTGCGTGCTCTTTTTTTGAAAGGCAAGTAAAATATATATAATAAAATATCAAATACATATTATAAAACATAGCAAAAATAATATTTTTAATATAAAGTATCAAGTTGTTGGCTGTTGGTTTTTAAACGTAATGCGGAAGTTCGGCAAACCTTATACTAGCCACGGTCTTGTTGCATGCTCTTTTTTTGAAAGGCAAGTAAAAGATAGTTGAAAATCATAATAGCAAAAATAATATATTCAATAGTACAAAAAAGTGCCAGTCAAGTTCGGCAACCAGCTCGACTGGCTTTTAGTTTTGCTACTCGGGTTGCCGTTTACAATCTACTTTGAATATGATGGGATAATTTCAATATTTGTGCTGCTATTAATTATTACATACTATTATGTAAAATTCCTATAAATTCTCGCGACCGATTTTCTCGCGACCGATTTTCCCGCCATCTTTGGGGTACTAGCAGTCTAGCTGCCTCTTTCACGCTTGAAAGTCTCCGTACCAGGGAATATAACTTTTACTATTGTAGTTGTTTGTGTGGTAAATTTACAGTTACAACTTTTAAAAGTCGCTTTTCACGTTGTTTGAATTGTCTAGAATCTTTCACGAGGGCAGACCCAAATATGGCGAAACCCAGAATCCCCAAATCCCAAGAAATCTCTAAAAATTGCATAAAATACTTGGAAAAAGCCCAATAAAATCCTCAAAATTATTGCAATATTGAGAAATCCCATCAAATGTAAACATTTAAATCATGAATTGGCGTGAAAATACCATAGCAATAATAAATATCTTAATTCGTTGATTTACTTCATTTTAAAAATACTTCGACGGATTATATGCGGCAAAAAATGTCGTAAAAAGTTCGGCGAAAAAAAATAAGGGAAAATATTTCGAAAAAATCAGCTGAAAAAAATCCCTTAAATTTGAGGAAAAAATCCCAGAATCCCAAGAAAAATTGCCGGGACTTTCTAATCCCAAAAATCTTCGTACGCTTTTTTCAGAATAATTTACCCCTCGATTTAAACCAGGATCAAAGTTATCGGTCAGTGATCAAAGTTATCTCCGTTGTCGAATCGCGTCCGGTGTGTCTGGACCCAGGGGCGGCGGAACAGGGGGGGGGGCTAGGGGGGCTGAAGCCCCCCAGAAGTAAAAGTGGGGGGGGGCTTAGCCCCCCCAGAAAATTTTGTTTTATCTGGAAAAATTTTGATAATTAAGGAAAAATTAAGTGTATTTTTTTGAAAATTTAGGTATGAGAGGAAAAATTTGCAATATTTTGTTTAAAAATTGTGTATTTCCGGAAAAATTTTTGTACCCCTAAAATGGTACACTGACCGAAATTTTTTTGGCGACGGGGGGGGGGAATGAAATCTGTTCCGCCGCCACTGTCTGGACCTTAATAAATGGTGTCGATATCCTACTTCTTCACGCAGTACGGCAAGAAGCTATCACTAAAACGTTTGGTACGCGGGATTTGAACAGTCGGAATTTTGCGTGCGTTTCTCAAATTGTATTGGTGGTGCACTGGCTTCGGTAAAAGGTCAAATAGTTTACTTGTAGTGTTTAAATTATAAAGGTCGAAGCTTTGTTACCGTGGTTATATAAAGTACGCCTGCTGTTTTCGGCAAATGTAGCCACGGTTTATAGGCCCTCTGCGGGCTATGGCAGGCCGTAGCCAGAATGATAATTTGGGGGGGGGGGCACATATTCGTATATTCGTGTTCACATACCATAAAAACAATTGATTTCAAAAGAAATTAATAAAGCAGAACACGAATATATGAATATGTGCCCCCCCCCACCCCCATTAGGGAGCTTTAGATTTGACTACGAGTACGACTACGAGTACGAGATTTGATCGCGTGCGAGGAAGTTACTGTAGTCGTTCTCGTTTCCATTCAAATGTTGCTTTTATAACAGTAAATCAACAGCGAGAGAAAAAGTTTCATAAAGTAAATCTCCTGCTGACTAAAATCCCCTACAAAACGTGCAAGTAAGTCATAACATTAAAAACAGGCCAGATATTTAGTACTAATATATTATTTGCGCCGGATAAACGCTATATAAATGCTACAAATTATTTTTGGAAAACAAAAAAAAGCCAACTTTTTTTGTTTTTTTTTTGAAAAGTCGTGAGGACTACGAGGTTTCTCCACAATTTCGTACTCAGATGGGCGACGGCTACGACTTTTTCTCGTCAGTACGGGATGGCGTAAGCATACAGCATGCGTTTAGCTTGACGAATCTCGTACTCGTAGTCGTACTCGTAGTCAAATCTAAAGCTCCCTATTATCACAGAATAAGGTACACAGAAGGTCGACTCGAGTAACGCTGCCACGCCATGATTCATCACCAAAATGCTGACGCCATGGTCCTAGCCAGTGCGGGTTTGAGAGGCATTCCCATAGAGATTATAAATAACACTAGAGGAGGCATTGTAATCTTAATTCAGTAAAAAAAAGGGAACGCGACTATTGGGGGGCAAATTCAAGTCCCGGATGTGTATTCGTGTTCTCATTGGTGACGAGTTTCAAATCAGCCAATGAGAGCACGATTTTATATCCGGGACTTGAATTTGCCCCCCATTAGCTGCGTTCCCAATTTTTAAACTCGATGCCTCCTCTAGTGTTATTTATAATCTCTATGGCCATTTTGAATGATATCAGGGGGGTGAATGCCTCTCAGACGCGCACTGGCTAGGACCATGGCGTCAGCATTTGATGACGAATCACGAGTTACGCCAAAATCATAGGAAAATCATAGGAAAAACGAAGTCGGCCTTCTGTGTACCTTATTCTGTGCTATTATCGTTCTGGCTACGGCACTGATGGCAGGAATCGAACATGTTGTCCTGGGACTCGGCCAGTTGTCGAGCTCTAACCACAAGTTCATGTATACAGTGTGCCCCCCAAAAAAGGCTACCCTTTGAAGTCAAGCGCTAGTGCCGCATGTTCGAATTTGAATGCTTTATTAACTCCCTAATGAGCCCTGGAATGCGTAAAACGTTATAGCAGAGCAATTTTATGCATGCATTGGAAATTAATTGAAATTTGTTCCGCTAAAATAACACAGAATGGAATGCATGAATATACATGTACAGGGTGTCTCAAAAAAAACCAAAATCATTGAAATAACGTATTGTTCGAATTTCAATGCCGTAACACAAAGGATTTTGACAGGGTGATTAATTTGTTTTAAAAAATTAAAATATCTTTGTAAAGTGAACGTTTGTTTGCTCATGGGAATTTAAAAATGCTTCGTAAATTGTAATATGCGTAATATGCGTAATATGCATTCGTGGGTTTAGTACTTTATGCCTGACATAACAAGTTCACGCTGAGTATTACCATTCATTATAGCAGTTATGTCAATCTTTTATGCACTCGTGGGATTAACTTAGTGCTAGGGCATTGAATATCGAACAATACGTCAATTTCAATGATTTTGTTTTTTTTTGAGACACCCTGTATAACGTTTTACGCATTCCAGGGCTCATTAGGGAGTTAAAGCATTCAAATTCGAACATGCGGCACTTGACTTCAAAGGGTAGCCTTTTTTGGGGACACACTGTATACATACTAAAGCCTGGCGTTCACACTGGTCGTAATGCATCGGCGATCTATTATATTCTTTTTACACACCAATGACCACAGACAATGGAAATCCCCGATTCTTACGACCAGTGTGAACCAGGCATAAAACCTGGTTTCTATATGGTCGTTAATGCCTGGTTCACACTGGTCGTAAAGCCTGGTTCACATTGATCGGCGATGTTCTACGATCCATTGTCTGTGAGAAACAAAGAAGAAAATGCACAAAACATTTTATGCATCAATGACCACCGACAATGGGCATCGCCGATGTTTATGATCAATGTGAACCAGGCTTAAGAATCGTGGATTTCCATTGTGTGTTTTCATTGGTGTGTAAAATGCTTTGTCTGTCGGAAAAGAATACAATAGATCGCCGATGAATTACGACCAGTGTGAACCAGGCTTAAATGGTCGTAAAAATAGACTCACGATCTTTCTCAACGGCCAGTTTATAATAGTTTATACCTGTAAACCACATATAAATCATAAATATTCTCTAGTTATAATCACTCCGCGTATTTTCAGTTCTGAAATATTGTTTTTTGGCTGATGAGAAAGTTCGCGACTCAATCTTTACGACCGTTATAAGGCCCACACAGACCGGACGCGATTTGGCAACGCGACGCGAATTTTCAGTTTTCAATGACATTTAACTTTAACAGTGTTTTTCAAATATTCGGGACCACTTAAGCAATTTTAGCTATTTGGTCTGCATATCTTGTAAAATTTTTACCCGTTGACGGTTTTATTTGTTTTTGAAAACTGAAAATTCGCGTCGCGTTGCCGAATCACATCCGGTCTGTGTGAGCCTTTACGACCATATGGAAACCAGGCAGGACGATGCCAATGTAGTTCTATCAAGGGATAGATAGTGATATGCCCAAATTGCCAAAATCTTGATATTTACCCAAATAACAAAAGCCTACACAAAAAACATCCCACTTTCGCGACACAATCGTCAAATTGACAAATGTTTTAGTAAACCGCTGCTAAATAAATAACTGAGCGGCTACAGCTATACGCGCCCCACCAATCACGAAGCGCCACGTGTATACGTTAATTAAACCCAACTGCGACAAATTCAATCATCGGATGCATGTCGTTCATTTTTTGCCCATATATGGACTTCCTTATCAATTTTATGCAAATATGCACTGATTGATACGCAAGGAGGTGTTCAGATTGACATGATAGCCGCGCGATTGTGTCTCTCGATTCCTTTACATTGAACGGGAATTTTATTCCATGAAAATAAGCAAGAATAGAGGAACATCTGCACAGGAACATGTAAGGATATCAAGTATTTAGTTTGTTGAACCGGCGGATTAAACTTTTAGCGAAATTGGAGTCCAACAATGGGCCACAAAGGAGTTGATAATTAAATTGTAAAGGTTTGAATTTCACGCTGTGTATTTGATATGACGTTAGCAGAAAATACCCGATTCGAGGATACAAGTCAATTTGTTTACTAGTCACTCGGGTCGCATGGTACTGTTATTTTCATGTCAACAAACGGTAATTACTTACTGTATCTTTCTTTATTTAGTGACATCGAATGTCTAAATACTACGCACTCGATTGTCAGGAAATCGGAAAGTTGACAAAGACGACGTTGTATCCCGCCGTATTTACAAGCCCGTTGAAGTGGACTGATATAAGATGAAGCGTAAGCAGAGAGAACCAAGGTAAGGATCGTACTATTCCTCCACCAACTGTGACTTTCACGCGCGAAATTTGGCGGTAAAATTTAAATACATAGTAAAGTACATACACAAATCACATGGCATGTATTGGCAGTGCGGCAACTTCGACTGATACTCGATATGCACGTTGTCGTTCGTTGTGTATTTGTCTGGAAAACTATAAAGCATATTGTCGTATTATACATTGTGTCGTGAATTGGCGCTTTACGTAGCTAAAACACTCACACAGCCTGGTTTCAATCGCTTTATAACGATTGTATTGAAACATATATATTGAAACCATTTACGGGTTAGCATTAGTGTATTAACGGCTTGATTTATACCCGAGGGAGGCCAATGGATCATCCCTGAGAACAAGTAGTTCGCTTGTCTTGACGAGTAATCTTCTGTTTTCTGTGACTGTTGATAGATGATACGTAGACGAACTGTCTTTTTGCTGATCGTTCTATATTCTCAGCTGCAGAGAAAGTTCGCGATCCAGCCCTTTATTGCGCTATGATTTTATTTACTCCTATAGGCTAGAACTTACTAAAATTATATCCTATAATTTGATAATTTCCTCTGTTTATTACAAGAGACATAAGAACAAGTCAGGAAAATTTACGTATCGTTAATTTTTATACTATTACTTATTAGTTTTGTCTGGAACGCGAAAATGACAGAGATAACGTCTTAATAGTTTCAATGCGTATCGTAATGTATGTCTGGTGACTTTATCTTTGCTTTTGTTTGTGAAAAAGCCGATAATAAAATCTTGCAATTAATAAATGATTATACATTTACGCGCAATTTGAAAGTTGCCTTTGCAAAGAAAGTTGCTTAAACTTGTTGTTGTTGTTGTTTTCCTATTACAAAGAATATTCCGGGGGCTCTTCCGGGTTAAAATTTTAAACAAAATATCTTGCCACTATATACAGAAAAAGTCTTTGGACAATAGCCATTTAAATGAAAGAGTAAGATATGATCTATTATAACGTTCCACTTTGCAAGCTTTTGATTTTAAATTTATTCATTTTTCATTTATAAAGAGCTAAAAACTGTAAATTTGATAATAGTATGAGATAAACTATTTTGATAATAGTATGAGATAAACTATTTTGATAATAGTATGAGATAAACTATTTTGATGAAATCACCATTTAAATGAAAGAGTAAGATATGATCTATTATAACGTTTCGCTTTGCAAGCTTTTGATTTTAAATTTATTCATTTTTCATTTATAAAGAGCTAAAAACTATAAATTTGATAATAGTATGAGATAAACTACTGATTTTGATAATAGTATGAGTATTTTGATGAAATCAAGGATTAGGATTCTTGTTTCCGTTTCAATGACGCAAGTATGTTCATCATCCATTGACAGTTTATTAAATTTCAAAATCAGCCTTATCTTGTCTCATTTCATGTGTTGGACTTCGTACTGTATAAATTCCTCATTGCCTCTTCTGAAAAACAAGGTATTCTACATAACAATATTAGTTTTGTTTAATTTTACCGTCGTTTCAAAATTTTAGACGAATACCACCAGTAACGGAAACTCCTGATGAGTTAGACAAAGAATCACCTGTTTTTAATAGTGTTTCCGACGAAGCAGAGGCAAAGCGCCTTAAGTCTGAAACCAACATTACGACAGAAAACATTTGCGATGCAACGGATTCGTCAGAATGGAAATGGAGCATCTCCGATTTTCGGAAAGAACATTCGGAAAATTTTAAAGAACAATTAGATGATTCGAATGAACGGTCAAAAGATTCCAACGAACATTCTAATCATTTAGAACAACTGTCGAATGGTTCTAAAGAAGCTTTAAACAGTTCGAAAAAATCATCGAACAATTTAGAACATTCCAAAGAATGTGTAAAGAATTCAATGGAATCTTCCGAAATTTCTAAAGAACCTGTGAGAACCTGCAAAGAAAATGGTGGAATTTCTAAGGAATTTTGGGAAAGTGTGAAGCCTGAATCTCATTTGAGAAACCCGCCACAGGTTTTACGAAATGAAGCCTTTCAAGACTGGAAGTTACCTGTTCGAAGTTTAAGAGAACCGTCGAGTTATGTCAAGCTTCACTCGCCTCAACTCAATTCAAACACAAGTGTACTCGAGAAAAATGGGGAAGTTAGGAATGAATCACAAGATGACAATATGCCTGTGATTCTTAACGTATTTTCATTATCAAAAGATCCAGCGAAGCAGTTTACCTCGAACACCAAACAAGAAAACAGTGTTCTTTTTACACCGCCGTGTTCACCTCCATATGTGCAACTTGGACCTTTCGGAGCAGCACCAGTCGCCAATCAAAATCCTCGCTTCCGTAACGAGTTTATGAATCAAGCAGCTTTTCAACAGGGGCGAGAAAACTGGTATAAACCAGTACAACAAGTTTATCAAAATTTCCAAGACTATTCGTCAAATCCACTCCAACAAGTTAGATCGCAAAATAAACCGGTACAACAAGTTTATTATAATTACCAAGAGTACTTGTCATATCCGGTCAAACAAGGTAGTTCACAAGGATACTTGAATAAACCGGTACCGCAAGTTTATTCTAATTTCCAAGAGAACTACCCAAAACAAGTTCAGCAAGTTGCTTCACAAGATTACCTGAATAAACCTGTTAAACAGGTTTATTATAATTACCATGAGAATTGGTCATATCCGGTCCAACAGGTTAATTCACAAGAATACTTGAATAAACCGGTACAGCAGGTTTATTATAACCCACCACCAGGGTACTTGTCCAAACCAGTCCAATCGTTTAATTCACAAGAATACCTGAATCATTCAGTCCAACAGACTAATCCGCCTGAGTATTTACCTAATCGGGCTCAAAAGGTTAATCCCGTTAATCCGCAAGATTACGCATATAATCCAGCCCGACAAAATCCACACCAAATTGCTAATGGAGTTCTCCCGTTAGAAAAACAATGTTCAAATCAAAATATGTATGAACGTCAAATTCAACCAAACACAACACAATTTTACACTCAGAGATATGTTGATAGCAAGGAACAACCAGCACCCCAGCTTAAGAGCATTTTGAGTGATGGTCAATTGGTAGAAAGAGGACATTCGATGGCTAAGGGTAATGGGGTTTACGCACGATTCAAGCTCACGCAATCGATGGTTGAGAGTAATACAGAATCTCGTCAGTCTACTGAGGGTCCACCACAGTTCTATCAAATACCCGCCGTACAAGATGGATCAAATATTGGTTCTATCTATTCTGGTGTCCCCATTAGCAACCATGAGAATGTGTCGTCAACGGCAGTAATGTTCCCAAATACATTATCAACTGTTCAGAACGAGATAAATACTCCTCCAAACTACAGCAACGGTGTTTATGCTGGTAAATACAGAACAGATTACGGTTGTTCTGCTATATTAGACGGTTACGGAAAAAACAAAGTGCTTTGCAAGAACTCGGATAGTCCAACTAATAATACCACGTATACTATGAAACAATCCGAAGATCCCTTTGCTACTCCAACCATGATTTCTGAGAAACAATCCGTTTATTCTGAGAATTCGTTTTGTAGTTCAACGATTTATATTCCAGGATCTACTAGTGTGTCTGGAGAGCAAGGCAAGGACAGTCCTCGTGGGTTTTTATCCCCACGTGATGCGAAGGTGATAGAGTTGAAACAGCGTTTGGAAGAACAGGAGGCTACGCTCGAGAAATTACGAGCGAACCATTAAAACATAATTTTGCACGTTTGTAAATGTTTGCACGGTTGTGGCATAGTCTGTTAAGATATGATGGTCTGGAAGCCTGGTAAACTTCAAAGCCATAAAATAGAAGACTTTTGTTTGATGTTGAACTGTACCTCACTGTACACAAATCCTTTGTCTCAACTTCATTACATATCATTCATCGTGGTTGCACGTTTCATCTCAGCTATCCCTATTGGACGATTACTTCATTATACGAGAATACAATGAGTTCAATCACCGTGACCGTGCACAAATTAACATAAACTCCGACAAAAACATAATACAATGACTTGTGTTTAGTTTCCAGACCATCCTATCGTGACAGACTATGGTTGTGGGTTTATACTGTTCTATAATTATTGTTTGTGGTGTTGGTCCAAGCTCCACTAGTTTTTTCAATTTACTAAAAGACCTAATGGTCAGGTCATTATTTATGGCGGGGGGGGGGGCACTGAAGAAAAATGTTTTTCTTGGTAAAAATGTCGCTGATCCAACGATTAAAAAGTCAAAAAAATGTTTACCCAAGGCCAAAAAAAAATATGTGGGTTTCCGGTTTCTTCTTATAAAAACTTTTTTAATTTTCCTAACGACCGGACGCCATTTTGTTTAGTCAGTGCTTCCACATCCAAAGATAAATTTCCCTAATATTGCCTCAAATTTCAATTTTCCACAAACTTTTTCCTCTAAGTGGAAACACTTACAAGCATGATCCAATAAAAAAGTTTAGGGTCGGGATTTCGACGTCCAAAAGCTAGGTAGGGTGGGGAAACCGGAAACCCACATATTTTTTTTTGGCCCAACCTCCAATATCAATTAAAAAATAAGTGCCCACCCCTGGTCAAAAACTTAGTTGTCACACATTTATGATTTACAGATTGTATTGGCATATGATTGTTGACATTGCCTTTTAGTCTTAGTCTTTATGATTGTTGACATTGTTTTTCATTTACCCAAACCTTTTACTCATTCAAAATGTTGTTTACCCAACCCTTTTCGGGGGGGGGGGGGCTTTTCTCTCCGGTGCCATCCCACCCCATAAATAATGACCGGTCCCTAAAGACCGCGTGTCACACGAGGCAATTTACCGTGAATCGCGCAGTTTAGGATACAGATTCATTAATATTCAAACCTCGATGTTTTAAGAGGCAATTTTTTTCAATGTCACGTATTTGCAATGAGAAGTGTTCAAAACCTAAAATGTTTTTGGCGTTCCTCTCAAAATTACTTTGTTTTAGCTTTATTCTCTAGTTTATAGAGTTAGCTACCTTTTTAAATGCATCTGCCAGTTGAGAAACATAAAATAATAGTTAAAAATTGTCAATTAAAACTACAATTATCAATGATGCTTTAAAATTGACGCCATATTTACAGCCATATAAGCAAAACTTAGTGAACTTCAGACATCATTTTCTCTTTGGCGTACCATCTTAAATCTTTTCATTTTAGCATTATTTTACAGATAAAACACTAAACATAATTTCTAAGTTTGTTTGCCGATCGAGAAACATATCGAAAATTTTGAATTTAGTCATAACCCCAAGTGGTATATTATATACGCATTAGTTTTGAGCGCTTGTTACGTAACATACAAAAAAATCTCCTCTTAATGGTATTTTTCAGAGAATTTCAGATAGTTGAATCCGTATCAATCCGCAGTTTTCGGGCATGTAAATTGCATTGTGTAACATGTTTCAACATATAACTCTGTTCTGTTTGTGGTGATGTTATAGGTTCCCAAAGTCTATTTTTCTTAAAAAGAACTTCTTGACCTTATTAAAGATGTAAAATATGTTTTGTTATTTATATAAAAGATTTAATATATTTTTATATATTTTTTATGTGTTGCCTTGAATATTTTCATTTGTGTCTTTGTAGGGGCCAGTATTTGTTGCATATTAGTTGCTTTCTTAAGATACACCAACATACATACATACATATACATACATACATACATACATACGTACATACATACACACATACACTTTATTTCAACTCGAATTTATAGAGTAGCTCAAACAATGAGCTTTAGCGCGGGGGGGGATGGTTCAGCTTTTAAATTCAGGTCAATCTTGTTCCCAGAGTATGCCTGTTCGCGGGTTAGGTAGTGCCACTATTTAGGGCGTTAAATTCAAGATTTACATTCAGGCTTTAAATTCAGGTTTTAAATTCAGGCTTAAAATTCAGGTTGAAAATTGAGGTTGAAAATTCAGGTTGAAAATTCAGGTTGAAAATTCAGGTTTTACATTCAGGTTTTACATTCTGGCTTTAAATTCTGGCTTTGAACATCAACTTTGAGAAAACCTCTGATAAAATAATATGCAAGAAATAGTGGCCTAAGTCTAAAATTATATTTAATTTTCAATATAAAAAATTATATTTATAATTGGTAAACGTGCGCGGGGGAGCAACGTTACATTCTCATGTCACACAGTCCAATTACCTGCATGCCTTGCAATTTGCAGGTATATAGCCCGCGTGTTTAACTATTTAACTTTCGTGCAATCTCGTTCCTGTTCGCGGGTTATGTACTATATAACCGTGAACAGGCATGCTCTGGGAACGAGATTGACTTTCGTGTACAATAGTGGTCTAGCAGAACTGTTTTTAGCGCGAGATATTCTCACGACAGGGGAATAGCTGTCAAAATGCGAGTTCGAATCCTGTTTCGTTGTTTCTCTGCTGCGTTTATAATCATCCTCAGAGATTTGAAATATATTTCTTCTCACAGGAATTCAATTAAGTCTTAAACGTGGGTAAGGTCAATGAAAAATGATATCATGTTTCTCGTCCCCGCCCGCATGGGATTTATCTGCCGCACGAAAATTTTTCATTATTCATTATTTTTGAAAAATAGGCTTAACAAAACACCACATTGATCTCCAGATCAAAGTCTTGTTGCTGCATTCCGCAAGCGCAACTCAAATTGTATCTTTCTAAAGATATTACTCGCCAGAATGCCTCTATTTTTCATGTCAGCCCTGGTATGTGTAGAAATATACTGTAGTGTAGGACGTATTCAATTAAAATGATTTATACACCGATTTACTTCAGATTTTTATGGGGGTTTTTACTGGGTAGTCTGGGTCAAGGAAATTATTGACAAGCAGAATTCAAATACAAACAATAATGAAAAATGAAAAAATCCCGCTCCAAATTTTTGAAAATTGTGGACGAGAAACATGGTATCAATTTTCGTTGGCCTAATGAAGAATACAATTTGCGGATTTGTGTGCATGGTGCAACAATAAACTTCGATGTTTCGAAGATAGAAGTTTGTTCTTATGTTTCAAATGTTGCATCACACGCTCAACAGCTGACTATGAGCTGAC